CCTAAAATTCATTGGCGCACGGTAGCCATATTCAAATCAGAAGATAACCAAAGGCGTAGGAGGATTTATTTGGTTTTATCATTTGTGATTATCGCGTTTATCATATCAAATAAAGTAAATGGAAAAAAATAAAAATAACAAAATGTAATTCTTTTTTTAGCGTAGTAGCGCACCCCAGGTATACGCTAGTTAATTTTTATTACACACTTTGTCGTTCAATTTCCTCCAATTTGAGTATTTTTGAAGCACATTGAACTACTAAAATAGGTATTATAACCACTGTTGTGCCCGTATTACATGTGTGTATTTTTCCGTGTATTTATTCATGTAGTGCAGGGTGCCAACATTATTTTGTTGTTCATAATGCTGATTTATGTTGCGTTTGAAGTTTTTCGGTTGTCACCCTGAACTACATGAATAAATACAAGGAAAAATACATAGATTTAATACGGGCATTGGAGTGCACGAAGTATTTCGTGCTCTAGTGCGCAAAGTATTACGTGCACGTCGCTAAGGTAAATAAAACCAATTTGAGATATTTCGCACAGAAATGAGTGTGAAAATGTCGTAATTTTTTGACAAATTGTGTTTTTATCCGTCAGATTACATAACCTGACAGTTTATCAGAAGGTGAATAAGCCGGCCTTAAAGAAACGATAAATGGGTAAAGCTTGTTTTTTTTTTAAAAAAAAATCTGATATTCCTGTGACCTAGTAAATTTACCTCATGGATTCCGCAGAATTTATCTCCATTGAGTTTTTTTTTTTTAAATTTGATGGATGAGCATCAGTAATATCATTGTTATTGTCATTATTGATGCTGAGATAGTTATTTTCCTAACAAATGCGCAAAGTGTTACTTTTCCGCACGCAAACACAGTTAAAGTCTGTTTTTTTTGTAAAGATTCCCCAAGTCAAAAATTTAGTGAGCAACTATGTTGGCAACACAAGCCTTTTCTACATTGAAAATTTGAAAGCATTGACAATTTCACATTGTATTGCCAACATAATGTCATTTTGACTTTTATCTTTAAAAAAAAAACAGACTTTATACGAACGACGTCAAGCGGAGTTCGGATAAGTTTTTGGACGAGGAAAAGACACTTTGCGCACATGTTGGGAACAAAATTTTTCCTACGAATTTTTACCGCACTTAGTGTACATTAATAAAGAATATGAACACTATCAAACGTATTTTTAAAAGAGTGCGGTAAAGAAGTTTCATCTACGAGCGTGCGATAACTAAGGTATATCACACGATTTTGCGTGCGGTATGTACCATATAACCGCACGACGTGTGGTAATTTTATTACCGCATGACGTGCTGTAATAGCGTGTGGTAATATTATTACCGCATGCCTTCAATTACCTACCTATCACCTAAAAGTAATAGTTATTTACCTAACAAATGCAGAAAGTGATACTTTACTGCACGCAACGGTAGTTGACGGAACGACGCGAAGCGGAGTTCGCTCAAGCCCTTAAGGGCAGTAAAGGCACTTTCCGCATGTGTTAGGTACAAAATTTTACCTATGAACATCTCCAAAAAAAGGCATTAATAAAATTAATTAATGAATCAGATTATTTAATGAAATTAGATTAGATTTAGAAATGATCAAAAATCCATTTTCTGAAAAAAAGAGGATTTTTGATTATAAATATCAAATTCTACTTTACCGCACACTATGTGGTAAAGTGCACTTTACCGCACACTTTGTGTTCAATTTTACCGCATACTATGCTGTAAAGTGATACTTTCCATTTGCAAATAACTTTACCGCACGCTCGTAGGTAAAGTAACTTTACGGCATAGTGTGCGGTAGAGTGCTACTTTCCATTTCCAAATAAGTGCGGTTAAGTGCACTTTACCGCACGCTTGTAGGTAAAGTTACTTTTCAGCACTGAGTAGGCTCCCTACGACACGCAAATGAGTGCGGTGAATTGCACTCTACCGCACGGCATGCGATAATATTATTACCGCACGCTCTATCCACATAGGTACGTAATACCTTCAATCGCCTACCAAAGATATATTACCTATACCTATCACCTAAATTCTACTTGTTCACTGTCAAAAGTGAAAGGCTCATTTTTTTCATCATTCTTTAAGCTTCTTTTAGATATTTTTGTTACCGCATGATTGTAGATAAAATACTGTATAATAGGTATGGTAATTAGGCTATTACCGCCCTTAGAGATTGCAAATTTCTCTCGCGTGCGGTAATTACCTAGTTACCACACCTATTAATTATATTAAATAATGTACTTAATATTACCATTTCACCTAGATTTTTTTTATAGGAAGTCGTCAATTTTTACGTTCAGTAGATAAACGTAATCTTTTCCTATCAAAAATTTCTGAAGTTGTACCAAAGGTTTTACCCAGTTTATTTTCAAAACACAAAAGGCAATGCAAAAACTCTTCGACGGCACGGAATCGTCAAAACAATTATTGAGATAAGAATAAATATTATTTTATTCCCGGGATGTTGTCGAAGCGCCGGCCGGGGGTTGGTGGGGCAGTTCTCAGTGTTGCCATGCCATAGAATATGTAGTTGCGATTGCAGGAATTGATCCGAAATAATACATTTTCTGTTTTTTTATGTTTAACAAGAATGCACGTGTTTAACAAAAAAATTATATTGGTAAAAAATGTTAGTATTTTAACATAGAAATGTGAGAAGTATTTTATATTCCAATCTTTTTTTTTTGAGAGGCGAGATAATTTTCAGAATTACTTTTTTCTATAAAAAATTACTTTTCATTCTTCTGTGATTCATCATCTATCATCCCACCAAATTTCATTGATTTTGATCCAATACTTTGGACGTAAATCAAAAAATAGTTTAACCCGTCGCACAGAGGTACCCAGGCCTCTTAATAACTAACTCAACAATTAAACTCTTTACAATCACTATTTAAATGGTATCACAGTCGAACTGAAACTTAACTTACAAGCTAAAACCCGTCCTTATGTACAGTGTGCGCCATAAAGTTGGGTACATATGGGAAAATTCTTACCTAATTATTTCTTTTTTCAAAAAACTTTTTTTGGGGATCGTTAGGGCATGTTCGATAACCAAAAAATCGATTATGACACATGTCATGTTATTTTTATGATGACCAGAAAATGTGCAAAAAAGGGACATGGGTACAGTTATAGCGACACGACCGGACGGTATTTTCTAATTTATGACCTTTAAGTGTGTATTTCGCAAAACAATCGATTCGTTTGATATCAAACTCATGTAGTTTAGTTGAATAAATCTATTTTTGAAATAAAATTAATATTTTCGATTTTCCATTTAATGGTATGGGTAAAATAAGAAGTCTTATTTTTGTTCTCTGATTTGCTTCAAAATCGGCATGTGGAGTTCTTTTTGGATTCTGAACAACTTTTTCTTATAAAATTTTTTGATATCTTGTCAAATTTACCCGTTTTTCGACATCAATATCAACTTTTTTTAAAATTCCCGCTTAACCGATAATCGCATGACATGTGTCGTGTCATAATCGATTTTTTGGTTATCGAACATGCCTAAACGATCCCCAAAAAAAGTTTTTTGAAAAAAGGAATACTTAAGAATTTTCCCATATGTACCCAACTTTATGCCGCACACTGTATATCCCTAAATCTATTCCTGTAAAATCTAGAACACACACGATAATGTTATTTCGCGATTATAGTAGAATAATTCGCTAGATTCGAGGATATTCGACATCGATTCTTGACAGCCTGGCGGACGCCGTTTTCCTCGCCTGGCGTTAACGATATCGTAACAGTATGTTGTGTTGTTCCTTAAAACCAGTAAAGGAATCACTTTGCCGTACTGCAGCCCAGTCCGGAAAAGTGATTCCCGTACTGTTATTCATTGATTCCATAGCAATTATTGAAACATAATCAAATTACCAGAATATTTAGTTTTGTGACCTGTTAACCAGTCGAAAATGCTGACATTTCTTGTCAATTGCAGATTTTTTTTTTTATGGAAAGCTTTCAATTAATCTGCTCTTTTTTATCAGGCCTTCATCCAAAAATTACTTGGTCCTCAAATCAAGGTGCAGCTACGCCCGTGAGCTTGTTCGTCATTTTTTCACAATGGTAGACAGACAATTCGTCGAAAATACAGGAGCAGTAGTAGGAGCCGAAACTGGATCTGTTGTAGCTATCATATCTTCTAGCACCTTAGGACAACGTCCTGCTGATAATAAATGGGTGATTCCCAAGGAACTTTTGGCTAATCAACATCGGGAGGGAGATAATGGTAAGGTAAAATGCGTTTTCCCAGAGGAAAATAAAACATATTTTTTGCTTCCGGAAGATTTTTTAACCCTTTGGGTCAATCCCTTTTAGTTTTGAAATGTTATAGTTAACTTAACTCATAAAGAATTATTATTTTTTGAGTGTTTTTCTTATTTTACCCAGACACAGTACTGTAAAAGTGTATTTCACGAACTAAAACTAAGAGCGTAAAGCGTAAAGGTGTGTTTTACGATACAGTATAAAATAAATTATTTTTAGATTTCCGACTCAATATAAAATCCATTACTTAAATAATGTTATGATCATTTAGAAAATTGAGTGGGATGGCGAAAGCCAAACTGTGGGTGCTTAGAATGAAAATAAAACCGCGGGAAATGTTTACAACTTTTTCATAGTTAAGAGGTTGCAAAATAAGCGCTTTTAATTTAAATGAAAATATTGGTCTATATTAAGCAATACCATGAGCTAAATGAAAAAAAAAAAATAAAATAAACAATAAAGGTCAAAATTTAGATTTTTTGGACTAAAAATACCAAATTGGTATCGGGGTCAAAAACCCAACACCAAACCTGCATATCACGCCTGCCAAATTATCTATGCTAATTATACACTTTCGACACCATAATATACTCCTGGCATCACATGAATAAATTAAAATACTTACTCGTAAACAAAATAGCCTACAAAGAAAATTAATTTAGAAATTATTGTTTTGAATTCAAATTTATACATATACTATCCGAACAAAAGTTCAAAAACTAATAATAATTCGTGATGGGAGGAGGGCTTGCGTTGTTTGTAGATTGCGGTTAGTTATTTTGAACGCTCCAGTGTTGTTAGGTTATCTCCCGCGGGTTCAAAGAGATGCCAGATATCGGATAAGTAGGTACCTAAAACGCGAGAAAGTCATCAGAGTGCTTAAGATCGGAAGTGTCAAAAAGCCAGGAAGCTCTACAATTTTTTTTGAATATTTTTAAAGACTGTTTCAAATATGGCACGAGGTAAGTTTTTGAATGTATATTTTTTAATTTGGTAAATAATTAAAAATAATTGTGCAGGAAATCCTTTTAATAATTAATAATAATTATATTTAACATTTTGCAATAGGTAGGTACCGCGAAAGAATTCAGTTAGAAATGTATAATTAATTGCTAAAGTATTTTAAAATCGTTTAGCGGTAGAAACTTCATTACCTATATCAAAATATTGAAATCAGAACAATCATTCCATTATTATTTTGTCCGTCTTTTCCGGAGACGGTAGGTACCGTAAACTCGTTCAATTCCGAGTTCAATTATTAAGGGTAGCAAAACATGAGTCCTGCAATGGGTGATAATGCAAACCTCAGAGAAGGTTTGCTAGATGGTACAATTAAGCGAAGTCCAACAAATATTTCGTTTTTAACAGAAGAATATAAATATGCAATACCTAACGAAGTTTTCAAATCGATTCGTGCGGAAAGTGGCAAAGTCTTATTCCATCTTGGCTCTGGGGAAATTTCTATTAAATCTAATCGGTTAGATGGTCAACATCTAGATCTAGGTAAGTTTTTGTATCGCATTTTTTCTTTGATTCCATTATGAATCCGTTACCTAATAAATATTTCCAAAAATACCGCAAATTTACGAAAATGAAAACACGAGATTGGCCAAGTAAAGTTGCATAAAAATATATGTCGACCAATAAATAAAGCTAAAAATACAATCGTTATACTTAGGAAGAAACGAAACAGATTAATATAAATAGATTTTTTTTTTAATGCGCAAAGAAAACTTTTCCTGCTAGCCAAAATTGTTTATTTGAATGATAACTATTTGCTAATTCGCACGAGATCCTGCTTGAGTGATTTATATGACAATAAAACAGGTTAATTGTGGTGCATAATTGTTAGGTATTAAAATATTTTGAGAAATTAATAAATGCAATTTTTTATGTTGGAATGTTTTATTTAAAACATTTTTTTTTTGTTAGTATTTTTTTAATTTAAGGTTTAATTAATAGATGGATTTTTATCCAGCAAACACGGACAGCTCTGAGTCTATGTTTATCATCTTCAATAAAATAAGGAAAGTCTTTCAAGTACGGTATGACAAGACTTTACAAGATGACAAGACCAAAGGGTAATTCCATTAATCAGCCACTAACGAGTGCCCCTCATACCCTCAGATTTTTTTTTATTTTTTAACTGTGACTTGACAAAGACCTAAGAAGTCCAAAAATCAATACTTTTTTTTTCTTACTCTCCACCTTTTTCTTAAAGACCGTGCAAAATTTACCATGCAGAGTTAACTTTGAAAAATTGTAGTTCTTCTCCTAATCAAGTGATCGTTATCAAGCAAACTGCTAATTGTTAATAAGTCTTGTCTCTTTAAACTAACGTAAAAAAAATTAGATATCGATACCGTTACGGGTCTCTGCCAATTATTTTAAAAATTCAATTTTTTTGTAAATAACGTAACTTTATATATTTATATATTCTTAGGGCTACTGACAAACAATTTTTTTTTAATGTATTTTGTTAACCAAGACCTTACTCTATATAAACGCAATAAAGCATTCCAAAATAATATCGGCTTACTGTTAAAAAAAATATATATTGAAATTCATGTTTCTCAAAATATACTCTTTTTAGCCATTTCAGGAGTCAAGAAGGCCATGTTTGAGTGAGTCGATTTGAACCTACTTAGGGTAGTTATCACCTTTTCCAAGCCTACATGACCATCATGCAATTTTATTAGCATTTCCTTTCTTAATCCAACAGGAATTATTATTCTATAATTAAAAAACAATAAAGAGTCAAACATGAAAAGAGAATCTCTAATTTTATAGTAGTGTCTAATGCATTCTGGTATAAGCTTTTCGTTTTTAGGCAACTCAGAAGACAAAAATTCAATTAACTTTTGTAGTGATAAATCAGATTTATAGGCGTTTAATTTAAATTTTTTTCAGCAGATATTGGCAGATACCTGGAGACAGAATGCATAACATGTTCTAATTCTAGGTCCAGATTGAAATTGTTTTTATTCATAAATGCTCGCAATAGAGTATCAGATATGGTACCGGGTGTTTTTTTTTTATCTCTGATTATTATTTTGATCATCTGTAATTTTTTTGTTTTTGAAGTTATCAAGGCAAACAAAAAAACAAAATGTAGGGTTAGTAGCCAAGTTTTTTTTTCAAGTTACCTACATTTGAAACGAAACACTATCAATTTTTTGACATATAGGCCTACATTATAATTTTTTTAAATGGAACACCCTTTTTTTTTTTACGGATATGCGCACTCGCAAGGAAATGTCCTATCACGCTCGAGAAGCGGCAAGTGCGCGGAAATGTCGGTGTATGTTGGTCTTGAAACGGTTCAGGTTGTAACCTGCAGGGAAAACCGTCGCGGGGAGTTTATTCCACAGCGATGCTGTTCTCCAGAGATATGAATTCTGATATAATGAGGTTCTTGGTGCCTCTAGAATGACAGTAAATTCATGGTTACCGTCTGTTTGACGGGTTCGCCTGGTAGGTGCTACTCTCGGTGGAATCATACGTGCCAACTCTTCAGAGCATTTTCGGTGATACTACCTGTAGAAGAGAGATAAATCGCCCACAGATCTGCGATGTTCGAGACCATCCAAGTTACGAGTAAGTGCGGGGTCATTGATCAGCTTGATAGCTCGTTTTTGCACGGTATTCAAAAGCATTAAGGTATGTTTGGGTGCTGCACTCCATATATGTGAGCAGTACTCCATAGTTGGTCGAATCTGGGCTTTGTAGAGTGTCAGCAATTGGCTTGGTGTGTACAGATGTCTTGTACGAAATAGCACCCCCAGCTTTTGGGAGGCCCTTTTAGCAATATCTGCCACGTGACTGTGCCAAGACATGTTGGTCTCTGCAGTAACCCCCAAGATGTTCAACTGACTCTGTAATGTGACAGCACTTCCAGATAGCATGATGTTTGGCTCACCGGTGCTGGTCTTTTTTGAAAACAGAGCTGCTTGGGTTTTCTGCGCGTTGAACTGTACAAGGTTTTTGTTACCCCAGTCCTCTATTATCTCCAGGTCGTTATTTATCTGCGATATTTGAGTTAGTCTAAGATGATGGAATTCACGTGCGGAAAGACCTGTGGGTGGTATGAGTGAGGAGACTACATTGCCATCTTCTGCAAAGCAATAAAGTGGATTTACTGTTTTATCTATGAGGTCATTTATGTAAATCAGGAAAAGAGTTGGAGAAAGGATTGCTCCCTGTGGCACACCAGCATTTATTTGGTAAGAGTTGGAGTTCTGGCCATCCAGTGCAACATAAATGGATCTGTCCTTTAGGTAACTTTCAAACCAAGTGCAAAGTTTCGGCGATAATCCCATTGCTTTGAGCTTGTTGAGCAGATTTTCATGCCAAACTTTGTCGAATGCTTTAGATATATCAAAGGCAATTGTTCTTGTTTCACCCCGCAACTCAATCGCTTTTTGCCATAAGTGAGTGACGTATGTAAGTAAATCGCCAGTTGACCTATATTTTCGAAATCCGTATTGCTTATCATTGATAATTTTGTACTTTTCCAAGTACTTGGTTAGGTGATTGTTCACAACTCTTTCCATTACTTTTGATATCACCGGAAGTAGAGCAATTGGTCTATAGTTTAACGGATCTGTCTTTTTTCCTTTCTTTGGAATGGGTTGTACTGCGGCAGACTTCCATGATGATGGATATACTCCTTGCCTGTAAGACAAATTGAATAATTTTGCGAAAGTTGGGGTGAGTTCGTTGGCGCAATTTTTGAGTACTATTGCGGGAATGCCATCCGGACCCATTGCTTTGTTTGTATCCAGCTTTTTGAGGGATTTCCGTATTTCTCTGTGACAAAAGGGTACCTCTGGCATACTATGGGAAACCCTTTCAATGAACGGTGGAGTTTTTCCGTTTGGCATCACTGTTAGGTTGGAGTTGGAGGCAAACATTTGGGCAAGCATATTGGCTTTTTCCTCTGATGTTGTGGCTAAGTGATTATTTTTATCTGCAAGTGGTGGTAGGGATGACTTGGTGAAGTTAGATCCAACAGCTTTTGCAAGAGACCAAAAAGACCTAGAACTACTTGGACAATTCAGCAACCTGTTTTTTATTCTTTGATTGTATGTTTCTTTAGCGAAGTCAATAGTAATTTTGCAACTATTTCTGGCTTCTATAAATTCTGTGTGGTTTTGAGCGGTTTGTTGTCGTTTCCAAAGGTTATATGCTCTGTGTTTTTTCTGTACAGCCGTTTGACACTGGCTGTTGAACCAAGGTTTTGCATTAGCTCTACGTTTAGTTGTATGTGGGATATATGCGTCCATTCCAGATAAGATTACTTGTGTTATTTCATTACAGCAAATAGTGGGATCAGCTGCTTTAAAGCAAACCTCTTGCCATGGAAAATCCAGGTAATACTGTTTTAGGTCATTCCATTTTGCCGATTTATAGTGCCACATTTTACGAGGAAGTGGTTGTAGGCTTGGTGGGATGAGCATTTCGCACTTTGTTATTATAAGTTTATGATCGGACGAACCAAGTGGAGCATCTACTTGAATTGTGTACGAGTCAGGATTGGTGGTTAGGAACAAGTCTAAAAGCGCTGCAAATTCGCCCCTTTCTGAGATACGGGTAGGTTCATCGACAAGCTGCGTTAGACCACAACTTATGGCAAAAGCTTCTGCTTCTCTGCCTTCGTTATCTGTTTTGTTGTGGTGTTTCAGCCAGGGTATATTGTGGACGTTGAAATCGCCTAAAAAGACAATTTCCGCCTGTGGATAGTTTGACTGTATACTATCACAGCTTTCGGATAATGTCGCGAAAAAGTTTTGGTAATCGGTGTTACTTGGCGGTCGGTAGAGGCAGCAGATAAACTTGGTTGATGACTTTGAGGTGAATTTTAGCCATATGATATCAAGGTTCGCTGGTTCTAGCTTCTCCTCTCGATGACATGAAAGGTCATTTTTAATGTACACACAGATCCCAAAATTATGTCGAAATC